TATATATATATAGAGTACTCTTCCGGTCAGGAATTCCTGACCGGAACCGCCGTCCGGACGGCGGCGTTTGGCCGCCTTCCGGATGGAATTTTTCGATGAAATTTTTATGACATGTTCTTCATCAAGTCTAGTTTATCCACAAAAAAATTCAGCCAAAAACTCATTCGGGAAGGTCGTCAAATGATTTTTTCAAGTTAACTGGTCCGGAAAATACATATTCCGGACGAGTTAACTTGCAAAACTCATTTGACGACCTTCCCGATTGAGTTTTTGGCTGAATTTTTTTGTGGATAAACTAGACTTGATGGAGAACATTCCATAAAAATTTCATCAAAAAATATCACCGGGAAGGCGTCCAAACGCCGCCGTCCGGACGGCGGTTCCTGTCCGGAATTCCGGACATGAATAAAATTCTATATATGTATATATATATATATATATATATATATATATATATATATATATATATATATATATATATATATATATATATATATATTTGAGAATATTACCCGAAATAAGACTAAAAAAGTTTGAAAATTTCAAAATAGGACTTCCATATTTTTATTCTCAAAATAAGACTAATTACTCTCATGTTTTGGAAGCACCAGACTTCAAACATGGCAGTATTTTCTAAACTTGGCAGTAATTACTCCTATTTTGGGAATAAAAACATGACAGTCTTATTTTGGGATTTTCAAACTTTTTTAGTCCTATTTCAGGAACTTTCCCATTTTTTTTGCTTTTTCTAATTAACCCCCGACCCCCCACCCCCACCCCCCAAACACCCAGCCCAACCCGTTGGAATAAAAAATGAAAATACAAAAAAAAATTGATTTTGGCCCGAACCAGGCCCGGGCCCGGCCGGGTCAGGTCTCATTTTGGCAGCACCATGCCCGGAACCGTCTCCCCCTCGGGCCGGGTCAAAGCCCAGTTCCCGGACCGGTGAACCGGGCCGGGACGGTTCACGGGCCGGGTGGCCCGACTCGAGTCCACCACTAGATATACTTTTGTTGGATATTATTTTAGTGTATATTTACATTAGGTATATATCTTTGTACTTATGTAATAATTGGTATTTTGGTCAACTTTGTATTTAGGTCCGGAACCTAGTGTGATATGAAAGCCCAATCTTCAGATATTACGAGCCCGTTTGGAGACCCCTTTTTTCGGCTTATCAGGCTTATCAGCCTGCTTTTTCACCAAACACGTAATTTTTACTTTTGCGTGCTGAATTGGGTAATAAGCAGAAAAAGTAAGGTTGGAGTTACTTTTCTGGCTGTATTGGCTGAAGTTACTGTAGATGACCATTTTAGCTATTTTTACATGTAATTTTTTCTTTATTTTATTAATAAAATATATTTTTAAACTATTTTTTTCTGGAATCAGCAGAATCAGCCAAAACAGCCACTTCAGCCAGAACTTCATAAATTTCAGCAGAAACAGCCAAAACAGCCGATTTTTGTGCTACCAAACGGGCTCTACATATCTGAAGAACTGACTTCCGTAAACCTAACTATGCAGAATGTTGATTCCATCCTTCGTTTCAGCGAGCTTGAGAGACGCAGCTTCACTGTAGCATATCGAATAATTCGATTTGTAACTTATTGTTTACCATTATCTTATTCAATTTTGCATTTATTTCTCTCCTACACTCTCTGTTATTCCATTCAATATTTGTTTGCCGTGTATACAAAATTCATATATTTTGATGTATTTATATTGACGTGTTAGTTTTGGAGAAGTGGCTTGTAGATACATTTTTTATTTGTATGAAATCTGTGTTATGAAAATGGGGCAAATGAGACAAATTATACCTTCAAATGTGACCTCTTATGTTATATTTAAGTGATTATGACTCTATATTATAGTAACTATTAGTCATATTTTTATAAATAAGTTTTAAATACTTAACAATTTGATATTTAATCATTTAATTTTGACATTCTAATACGGAGTATTTGAATATATTCGAAAGACAAATCATTTTGTACACGGCTAGCTATTTTACATGTGTACATAAGCAATTTGTCTAAAAACGTAAAATTTTTTGGAAAATGAAAAGAATTATTTGTGTACATTTTCTTAAGAAAACGTAAAGAACAAAGAACAACTCATATTTAAATTCAACAAACGAAACCAATATATATAAAATAATATTCGATTGTCAAACGAATATGAATATTGAACAACTTATTCCATTCAATTTTATGGCGTACCCTCAAGGTATGAGGTAGGGCTGGACTCGGTTCGGCCCGGGCCCGGGCCGGGCCTAGGCCCGGTCGGGCCTCCGGTCCTATAAAGGGGGGCCTGGAACCGCCCCGCCCTTCGCCCGGTGCCGGTTCGGGCCGTTTCACCCGCCGGGCCCCGGGCCGGGCCACCCGCCAGGTCGGGCCGGGCCTAGGTTAATTTTTTTTATATCTTTTTAATACAACTTAAATATGAAATACATTTTTCAAAAAATACTAATACAATAAATTCTAAGTTGTAAGTTGTATGTTTGTAACCAATTAATTAATTAATTAATTTGAGAAGTGCTACATATAAAAAAAAAGAATGTATATTTATTTGAAATATGAAATACAACTTTACAAATTACAATAGAGAATTGAAGCAAAAATTAAAACATGAAATACATTTTATAATAAACTGTAAAATACTAATCAATCGGAATCTCCGGCATAGGAGCCACCCTCGGTTGTTATTCATCCATAAAGTCTTGGGAGGGGGTGATGCTAACTTCTTGACATCTACGTATGGCCTTCAACCAATCGTGGTAGCATATAAGCGTCTCAAGAGACTCAGCGCTCAAACCCGTTCTAGATGTCGTTAGAACGTTGCCGGCCGAACTAAATTCTTGTTCCACGGCAACTGTTGAAACCGGCATTGATAGCACTTGCTTAGCCATCCGTGCCAAAATCAGAAACATTCTTTCTTTTGACTTCCACCACTTTAGAACGTCAAACTCCTCATTTTCGTCAAATTCTACCTCATAATTTATATACAAAGAAATCTCATTAAGTGCGCTTTGTTCAGTAGTGTGAGTTGTTTTAGGTTTTTTCATAAGATTGCCAAAAGCAGATTTAAAAAGTGATTTTCCTTTAGATGAAGATGTGTGTGTCGGGGGAGGGGGCGCGTTGCCATATTGTGCACGAAACTCATTAAATAAGACATAAAATAAATTACTAACCTCGTTGTATTCAACTTGCGGATCTATGGCGTTATCATCATACATTGGAAATGGACCAAAAAAAGTATTATAATAGAACTTCAAACATTCTTCCAAATTACCAAGTCTATAACGAGGATAGAAAATAAATGCAACACTATAAATATGCGAAATATGTGCATAATATATATAAGTATATTACTATAAGATGAGTAATACACTTATATATAATACTTTAATATATATAAGTAGATAATAGGTAGAGATTAAGTAGATAAGGAATAGTAATATAATATATGTATGTAAAGTAGATAATTAATAATTTAATATATAAGTAAATAACAATAAGTATAGATGATAAGTAGATATCAAAGTAAATATTAAGAAGATAATAAATATATATTAAGTAGATAATAAATATTAGTAATATAATATAGGTATATAAGTAGATAATTAATATATAAGTAGATATAATAATTATATAAATAATATATATATGTAGAGAGATTTGGAGAAGATGAAGATGGAGATGATTAAGATTTAAGAGTATGAGGGAATAGAGAATTAGAGAGTAGGAAGAGTTGGAGAAGAGGTGTAAAAAATGTATAGAAAATAGGAGTATAAATAGGTTTTTTTTATCCCCACCCCCCACCCCCAAAACCCCTGGACCCCCCTCCCACCCCCTCCAACAGCTATAGAGCCATTTGGGTGGTCTCCCAACGGCTACATGCCTCCCAAATTTTTAAAACAATTTTTTTTAAAGAGCCGTTAGGCCCGAACCCGGCCCCGCCGGGCCGGTTCGCCATATGAAGGGCCCAAGCCCGCACCTCTACTTCACCGGGACGGGTCGACCCTAACCCCCCCCCCCCCCCCCCCGACCTGTTCCGGGCCGGGCCGGTTCAAACAATAACCGGGCCGGGCCGGTTCAAACAGTAACCGGGCCAGACCGGTTCCGGGGCGGGCCGCCCGGCCCGAGTCAGGCCTAGTATGAGGTATCATAGCTTGTCCACATGTACCAATTAAAATATTGCAATTGAATAATATCTATAAATAAATGATTAAATAATAATTTGGACCAATGTAATGTAGATGAGTAAGATAGGCTCGTTTTTTTGTTAGGTACCATAGCAATCACCGGGTAATTCACCTCTAACTAGTCATGGACCCGGGCCGGGCCCGGCCGGGCTTTTTTTTTTGGGAAGGAAGGCCCAGGACCGGCCCGGGTAGCCACCGGGACCGGGTCGGGCCTCCGGTTTGGTCATTTTTTTTTTTTTTGCTTTCCTAACCCCCCCCCCCTCACCCCCACCCCCCCAAACCCCCCAAACCATCAAGCCCAACCCGGGTAACCCCAAAAAATGAAAAAATGAAAAAAAAAAAAAAAAAAAAAATCAATTCGGCCCGGACCCGGGCCCGACCGGGCCAGTTCACCAAATACAAGGCCCAAGCCCGGACCCGCCCCCCCACCGGGCCTAGGCCCGACCCGGACCCGAGAACCGGGCCGGTTCCGGTTCCACACAGTAGCGGGCCGGGCCGGTCACGGGCCGGGCGGCCCGAACCGGGTCCATGACTACCTCTAACAAATCCATTTTCCTACTTTCTATAACCTAGCAAGGCTAGCAGCCTTCAGTTGAGAACAATGAGATATGACGACCTTAGAGCTGAATCAATCCGGTAAAGGGCCTTTGACAGTTTGAGTGTTTGACTAGTAAACTAGTAAAGTAACGATCCAAATTCTGAACCGTTAAAGGAGCTTTGAGTAGTATCTCCATTGATTTAACATTTGTAAATGAAATCAGGTAATTGGTCATTGGATAAATAAAACATTGTTTTTTTTTGTTGATAAACATTGTTAATCAATGGTTGACTGCTGAAAATGTGTTGGATCACAATCATATTCCAGAATAAAGAGATTTGTATACAAAACTCATACACAAATTCACAAGAGCTGTTCTTTAATATCCAATTCATTGTTGTCACAACAATGTTCGTTATTTTCAATTTTCATAATGAGATGCGTAATTTGTAATGACCGTCCTGTTTCTAATAAATTTATCAATATTATGGTAAAAAAAAATTATCGATATTAATAGTTAAATATACTTGTTTTAATAAAGACTGGGAAGTAAACTGCAACTTTAACAAACCGAAGGAAAACATATCAAATCTCTCAATAGTGAGTGAACAAAGCCAAATATTCAAAACCCCGTAGAGTACATCATGTCATGATTCTTTTACCAGTATCCAAAACTTCTACACCAAAACACAAGACTTAAATTCGTGAGGTGTATTTCTCAGCTCTTTGCAGCCTGCTTTTCCTTGATTTTCTGAATCTTCAGCACTTTTTTCACAATCTTCTGCTCTTCCACCAAGAATGCTCTAATAATCCTACACACACCAGCAATGAAAACTATTGTGAGATTACAATGTTAAACCATCAACAAGATTTATGTTTGGGGTGGACAGGTTAAAGTTTGCTTTGGCAAAACCAAAGTAATGCCAACTGAAAACAAACCATATGCAATCCGATTTTAGTTTTGTAATATTTTCAATTTACTAAATCTGGGCAAAGTAGCAACCATAGTACAAGATACAGTAAAAACATTCTAAAAGAATGTTTGACAAAATTACCTTTCCCGGACAGCACTGCCTGATAGGACTCCACCATAAGCACGGTTAACAGTTCTTCTGTTCCTGGATAATCTAGACCTCTTGTACTCAGCAGGCCTCAAGTGGGGAATCTGAGATTAAGATGATCATCAAATGAGTTACAGTACTCCAAATTAGTTTAACAGATAACAAATACAGATGATACAACGATCCACATTATAAGAGCAAAATGTAACTACATTATCTACCAATGAATTTCTAAAGCATTATCTGGTATATTCAGGTAATCGGCAAGATAAACAGAAAAATTCAAATTAAGTAGCTTTCAACTTGTTTGGTTGGAACTCAAAAAATTCAACCATTTGAACTCAAAAGGTAAACGAGACATCAAACATAATTGTAATATATACTTATAGTTTAAAATGACCATAATACTCAAGTACAAAGAGCTACTAAAATAAATTGATGACCATGGGAGCAAGTTCATCTTCAAAGTATTTTTTGTGTTCCAATATTTTACTGTGAGAGCTTCCCTCGCTCATATTACACAACAATATAACTTTACATATTTAGCTCATGATGCTATTTAAAATTTGTAGTTTGAATGTTCTTAATACTTATTTGAGATGGACATTGACCTCTTGTTTTGAATTACTTAACTCTGATTTGAATTACAAGTATACAGATGATCATCAATTGTAATACATTATTCCATCATATTTAAATATTACTCCCTCCGTTCTTTTTTATTAATCTCCTTAGGCTTTGGCACGGGTTTTAAGAGTAAAGTAGTAGGGGTAGTGTAAAAAGGTGTAATGAGTAGTGGGTAAATGAAAAAGTAGGAAAGAGAAAGGGGTAATGGTAATAAAAGTGGGGGTATAAAGGTATATTTAAAGTAAAAACTTTCCTTAAATGGAAAGGAGGACAGATAAAAAAACGTCCCAAAAAGGAAAGAAGGACTAATGATAAAGAACGGAGGGAGTATATATGTTGCAACAAGTCACTTAGTTGTCACCTAAGGGAGAGCTTAGTCACCTAGGCAAAATGGCAGTTGCCTAGCACCGCACCTTTCCACTATGATGTTAACTCATTGTGGCATATCATCAAAGACTCAAAGGATTGCACAAACCAATTCAATTAACTAGGTCTAACGGCCTTTGATTTAATAAAAAATATTAGCAAAAGATGTATGAATGGATTATAAGCATCACACCCGATATGATGTTTTTCGTAGAAGAGGTGCCATAGGGGCAATCCAGCATAACACTTAGGGGACTGATGGATTTGTTTAGACTAGCAAAAGACAGCTGTTAACACTGCTTTAATAGTGATTAGAAATTTAAAAGTAGAATAATCACAAATAAGGACAGGGTTAGATGGACTAACGGTATATTCATCTTCTAAGCAGTAAGTACTATCTAAAACGATATTCAACTTCTTCAATATCCATTGAGTTGTATGTCAATTAACAAGCTTTTAATTATATAAAAAGATTAAACCAAGAATTATCCTACATTTTCCATAGATAAGAAGCCCACATCATGCTTATCATCAGCACATATATCAGATATATGATAAATCTGATCCACTAATTATTATGAAGAAAATGTATGCATACCCCTTGAATCCGCTTTCCCGTTACAGGACACTTGGGTCCACTAGCCCTCTTCTTTGTGGATTGAAACACTAGCTTCCCACCTATTCACAAAATTTACTAACATAGTTAATCAAATAATCATCGCAAATAAACCAAAATCATCATAATTGCGACAATAATAAAAGTAGATACGTTATGAAAAGCAATTCCCAGAAACTGCAACTTTAACAGCTGAATAGTAATCCGTAAGAACTTCGAATGAGAAGGGGACATACCAGGTGTTTTGACAACACGGTTTTGGTTTGATTTCGTGGCATAGGAATGGCGTGAGCGGTATACGAGCCGCTGCACCATTTTTCCCTGTCTGTCTTGACGGCCTGAGCTGCAACGGAGAGATGAAGGGTTTCAAAATTTTGTTGTGATTGTGTTTATATAACTTGGTATCGCGAAGTACGTTACCCTAGATCGGACGGCTGAGATTACAAATGAATGCTGGATGGACTTTTAGTCTTTTGGGCTATTATTGCAGAACAATGTAATGGGCTTTATGAACCCTATGTGTCATTTAGTTTTTGTCAAAGCCTATTTGGCTATTTGTATAGGGGTAATTCGAGTAAAGGGTCAGTTTGGTCCTCGAAGTTGCAAAAAAGGGGGTCAAATAAGTCCTTATATAGAAGATTTTGTCCGGACGTGCCATTTGAGGTGGCTCCCGGTAAATTTTTTTGATGAAATTTTTTGAGCATCTTATTCATTAAGTCTAGTTTACTCATACCAAATTTCAGCTAAAAATTTAATCGGGGAGACATTCAAATGAATTCTTGAAGATAACTGCGCTTTTAACGGCACAGTTATCTTCAAGAATTCATTTGAATGTCTTCCCGATTGAATTTGTATCTGAAATTTGGTATGAGTAAACTAGACTTAATCATTGTTCTAAAACTCGCTAGGCGCTAGTCGGGCGGTAGAGGGGCGCCTAGCGCCTAGGCGGCCGACTAGGCCGATTTTTCGGCTGACTAGGCCGATTTTTTGTTCGACTAGACCGACTAGGACTCTACGATTAGGGCCGCCTAGGCCAATTAATCGGTCCGCCTAGGCCGATTTTTAGAACAATGGACTTAATGAATAAGATGCTCAAAAAATTTAATCAAAAAATTCCACCGGGAGCCACCTCAAATGGCACGTCCGGAAAGAATTTTCTATATAACGACTTATTTGACCCCTTTTTTGCAACTTCGAGGACCAAACTGACCCTTATCCCGGGGTAATTCTATTCGCAGCCTCCGAATTGCTATTCACAGCCACATAATTAAATAAAAAATAATAAAAATAATTCAAATATCTAAAATACCTTTGTTTGCACTGTCGATTACGAGAAAGGCAGAAACAACAGAACTGGAAAACACAATTATGCCAAAAACTCAAGAAAGGTGGATCACAGAAACCTTGGAGTTGCAAAATCCGAGGAACGCAATGCAAGAGCCATAACCATCACAACCTAGAGACTCACGTACATATAACAATTGCGTTAGCAATTTTTCAATTACAGACCTTGGAGGCTTGGATTTTTCCCCAACTTATCCACTACATTTTCTAATTTCTAATAAATACACTGAAATTCAATCCAAATTTACTCTCACAAAACAAAATTTCAAATGAGGATCGATCTTGAAGTCTTGAACTAAATGAATCTGGAATCATGCGCTGTTTACTGATGTCGACATCCTGAGTTGACAGGGGAAATGGAACCACTACAAAAAAAGTGCACATAGACTGCACATGGACCACAATTTTTTTTTGCGATGGCAGGATAACTGTCGTTAAAAACACCATTAATCACACATTTTTTATTTACCACACACAAAAATGTGGTAAAAGCTTAGAGACGACAGTTTTTAACCGTGGCCAATGTTTTTACCACAGTTGTTGTGCCGACGCACGTAAAACTGTCGCAAAACTGTCGTAAAAACATAAGGAGGAACATTTACGACAGTTTTGCATCATTTTACGTGCGTCGCCACAACAGCCGTGGTAAAAACATTGGCCACGGTTGAAAACTGTCGTCTCTGACCTTTTACCACAGTTTTGTATGTGGTAAATAAAAAAATGTGTGATTAATAGTGTTTTTAACGACAGTTATGCGGCCATCGCAAAAAAAATTGGTCTATGTGCGGTCTATGTGCACTTTTCTTGTAGTGAACTCAGAATGTATGGTCGGACTTGCCTTCGTAGAAAGATAAAATTGAGGAAATTTAGGTGAAGGAAAAGGAAATTTAGGTGAGGGGGGAGCAAGCCTTCGTAGCTCCGTGGTTTGCTACTTTGCTTCTGTTGTTCATCTTCTTCCACACTTCAGAAATTGTTTGTACTCGAGTGTTTGTTTTATAATGAGGCTATAATAGGTATTATGATTTTTTTTTATTTTTTACGGATGATGTGTGTGTACTTAGGAATTAGGGGGCTGCATATAGAATTCCCCTTTGTATAAGGGTAGACTTGTTTTGGCATCCCAAAAAACCACGTTGCCAAAATTTTGACTTAACAAAATGAAAATATGCCTAAGATAGAATTACGAAATTTAAGTATTTGAAAAGTGAAAAAAGTGTTTCTTGTTTCTTGATAGAAAATGTTTACATTAGAATTCGCAGATAATCATCACGACAATACCCCCAATCCGGTCACAAGCTTAGGGTTAGACATAGAAACGCCCGTCTTTAAATAAGTACAATGACTCGCTAATCACAAAGCATGCAACATTAAACATATAGCAACCAAATTATTGTCACGGTCACCTAACCCATCTATCTTATACCTAAATGAAAAGAAAAAAAATGCAAAGACAAACAAGGAATCTTCAATTTACCCAGAGGGGCTATCAACTAGACCCCACCTCACCCTTATTTTTGTCTACCATTTGTCTCCAATTCCATCATTATCTTCCCTTCCGCTATCTCATCCCCCTCCACCCGACGACGCACCTACATAAATGAAAGTTCCAGAATCTAGTCTCAGAAGCTAACTCACCTATATCCACTCAGTCTTTCCCAAATTTGAGGGACTCCCATATTTGAGTCATTTTTAATCATATGTTTGCTCCCTTTGAGAACTAACCACTTGTGCCCTAACTAACACTGCTTCAGTCATTGATTTATACTCTCAGCCACAAGTCATAAGGCCTGCTTTTCGTGAGCATGACTATCCAAGGTTTAGAGGGAAAAATCTATCTGCATGACCAATGTCACCACAAGCAAAACAAAAATTAGAAAGTTGTTCATATCTAAAGTCGATCCACCACCAATCCCCATCCTCCTTTAAATCTCCATACTCTTCTTAAGGGGTTTCCTAATATCAAGACAAGCGTGAATTCTCGAGTAATCCCTCCATAATCCCTCAAACTTGTTTTCATCTAACTTTATAAATTCACCTCAAGAATTCCCAATTCCCTTTGCCACCTTTAATGTCCGAAAATCTTCTCACAAATTATGTGATTTTTACCGAAATTAGACCATATTCATGCAATACCACAATATTCTAATCATATAACTAAGGACCATATTCAAGCTAACGACACATATCAATTTCGTGATAAATATAAAACATGTACCGTTTATCGCCGATCTTCATTATATAAAAAAATTTGCTATGTCTCTTAATAGAGGCCAACACATCCCGGAACACCATAAATTTCACTGATTTTTCAGTTGTTAATGTGCATACCAATGACCATGCGGGCAGACCACCACCGTTCATCTTCCTCACTTGCACTTGAGAGGATCAGCTCGTCCACATCATATCCCAATTCTAGGCATCTGTATTTTATGCCAAGTCGTGCTGGTTATCCATCTGACCTTTGATGCCTCAAGTTTCCTTTCGTCGTATGTTCTCACAGCCTCCCAAAACTTGTTCAAATCCTATGCTACAACAGAATGGCCAACGTTTGCGTTTACACACAATAGTGTGAACAGAAAATGAAATCGACCGTGATGTTGCTCCAAGTGCTTTTCAATCTTTGATATTTAAGAATAAGACATGCGGATATATCTATTTTACCTTTCATATTTAAAATATTAATGCATTCCCTCCCTTCCACCATTCCCCATTATGTATGCATATTTTACATAAATATTATTTTTGTTTGCACTTAAAAGAGTCAATTCTGATAATTCCGAGTTGGTAAATCTATCATAATTGTGTAATAATTATGTTCTGGTCATATTTTTTACCGTGAAAGTTTTAGAAACCCTTGTTTTGATAAATTTAATAATTGGTTGATAAATGTGTAAAAGATCTGTTGAGACAAAAATATACATATGGGCTAAGTAATATTGAATCAATAAATTTAAATCGTACCAGAAATATTCAAATTATATAAGATCTTATCTTAAAAGGTAGTTATATGAAAATATTCAAATCCCACAAATGGAATATTTTCTTTGAGAATTGAAAATCACATGTGAATATCTTTCGTTCTACATCAATAAGGTTATTATAAGGTAATGTTTGCGGCATTACCAAGTAAAAGTAATGCCGCAAACATATTAGAATGTTTTTAATTAGATTTAAATTTCTGGTTTGACAAAGTTTGTTTAAGTCTAATTTAATATGGTAAACGTATAGTATATGTATATTTTACTATTGTCTAAATCTATTCTGGACTGATCTAATCTGTTTAAATTTGATCTAGTTTGGTCTAAGATCGAGACTAGTCCAATAAAAACATATTTAAAAGCATAAATAACACGGTGGTGTTCAAGGGAACAAAGGGGAAAGAAGAGGCAAATAAACCAACCAATTTTGATAAAGGCTAAGTCAATTGTGATCTTAAACTAAAATATAGAAAAGACGCCCCTAAAAATACAAATACTCGATCTATTCCTCCTCAAACCCAACTTCAAGATTTCATGAACTTTTCTTATTAATAATGCCATAAAATTTGTGACTTAGGGTGACTTATAAAAACAATATGCTCATGTAAATTTTTATACTGATGCTTCACACATGAAATGATTTTTTACCAAAATTAGATATGATCCAAATCTTCCTCCCAATTTACAACCACAAACACACCATATATTAGGTCACCTTCACTGCTTTTGAGGCTCTATGCATTATCAATAATATGAAGATAATCATATTACGTATTGTTATCTCGAGATCTCTTTAGACATGTATGTTTGGTGGACTAAATATCTATTATATAGTATGTTTGCATAATGAATATTGAGATTAATAGCCTTGACTGAAACACCCAACAAGGTGCTTTTGGAAAGTGCTTGATTTATTAAAATGAGATAAATGCTTGAAAGGAAGAAAAGAAGAATTTAACTTTGACCTTATGTATTAGGTCCCAGACACTTAGCTCAAAATACAACACACTCATACCTCTATTATAACCACTCACACTTAAGCTAATATCACTCACTAATGCTTTTCATAATGGAAGAAAAGAGTTAATGCTTTTATAAATGTTAGACAACCCCTCAAATAGAGTTGTGAGGGATACATATAGTTTGGGAAGAATCTTGGAGGTCGGTGTGGCCATTAATAATTAGTTGATTGTCAAATAAGAAAATCTTTAGCCAAACTTATATACTGAATGCGCTTCATGCCAATCATGGAGTCCCCACTGAAAGGGATGTTGAACAATCAAGGAACTCTATTGATACATAAATGGGAACAACGTTGACCTAATATACTCATTTGGTCTTGCTTATGCCTGAACTAGGCACTAAGATGGTGGAAGGTCAAGGTCCTTCATCATCAAGCATGAGAAGGAGGCCCCTAATCGGATTCCTTCCTTATAAGTCTTCTGGAGTAGTTTTCCACCACGATTGCTAGGGACATTCCACCATGATATCCCAAGTCATGAGGTCAATCAGTTTGAATTGGTTGTAGCCTAAATAGTGATATAGGTCATTGGGACCAATAATCCTAGCATATCCTTTTCCTAAGTGAATTTGGGCCTCGTCAAATTTGTCAAGCCACCGACCAATATCCCAATAATGAGGATGTATGTTTAACTTTAAAATTTATTTGAAACAATTCGCTAAATTAGTAAATTCTAATACGTACCTTATAGAGAATATACAAAATTAAACTTAACTAGTCCAAAATACATTGTTTTGTCTTTAAACCCCCAAAGCCCGTGTCTATATTTGATGTTCTAATGCACATGATATCCTTTCATTAAATAGTGCCATAGGGGTGTTTTCAAATTATTTGTACAATTATTTAACTTATATTATTGCAAGGTTTCATATATATTTTTATATTTAGGAGCAAATGTTCGTGAAATGCTTTTGCCTTGTATAATTGCCTTATATACAACAATACTTCATATAAACAATGTTTTATGTGTTTAGATACCTAATGTTGTTGTGCAAAGAAGAAGTCATATATTGCTTGGATATCGGATGATAGGAATTGTGATCTTTTTATGCTCATTCATGTTTTCATACTCTCGACATGTTCTTTTTGTGTGCAAAAAATAATTATATAGGAATAAAATACGGGTGCATGTGAAGAGAGCAAAATAAATTCTCTATATATTGATAAGCACAATAACTACCTATATTTTATACAGGTAATTATGATTATTTGTACAAACATTCAAAGATAAAATAGGTAATAATCCTAATTTGAGCAAAACCGCACTTAGACGTCAAAAATGAAGAAACAAGAGTCAACGGGAAAAGGGACCAAGAACTGGCACTTCGGGGTCAACAACGGGCGTCAAACGGAGCGAAAAACGGAGAAATACCATAAAAGAGCATACCCGGCGCCGGCCTGCCCTTATAAATTCTCTATATATCACAATTGCAACTTACATCAATAAAAAACAATTGCTATGTATAATTTGTTTTACACCTCTTGTGAACTCTTGGAATCCATATACACCATAATTACAAAGCACATTGTCGACAATAAATAACCCCACCCTCAATAAATATTAGTTGTTATTGACGCTCTTGAGCTATAGGAATTGCAGGTGTGGCTGATGCTATAGTAAATTGCATTCCATTTCGTTGTGCTGCTGATTGCACTACAAATGCAAACTGTGTTGCCGCCACTGCCGCCGCCTCCTGCATCCATACTTTAAAGTTATCCGTAGTACAAGATTTTTATTCATCTAAACATCCTCAGATCAGTCCACTACTGTCGATAGTGCCCCTAGCGCTATCATAGAACACTGTAATTACTTGTGTCCTAAAAGGTGTTGGATGTATTGGCCCAGAATAAGAAACATGTTTCCCCTATAGGGCTCATTCGTGTCCTTGTTTTTGGACGACGTGGTGCAAGAGCTGAGCTCTTAGGGGTTGAGATGGAAGTCTGAGTCAGAAATACATCGACTTTATTATAGGTGTGTGGTTGGATTATGTAGATCATTGGCGGGGTATGAGGATCTATATAGAACATAAGTTATGAACAAGATTTCTTTTCACTTTCAACCCTCGCGGTATTGTGTCAGTGCCTTTTAGGCACTTGCTTTGAATCTTCAACTTTTGTCCTAAAACTATTGGGGTAGAGGAAAGTTTTGGTACTTATCTTTGATGTTTTCCACTTTTCCACTAAATTGTAATCCCTTATAGGCTTATAGTCCTCCGCTATGGTGACATAGATGGTTTTAGTCCTCTACTTGTAGTAGGTAAATTAGAAAATGAACTAAAAGTGTATTGCTACAATAGTCATATCACTAAAAATAAAAAAATAAAAAGATGAGTAACAAAAATATTATTCTCACAACACGCTGATTGAAAATTTGGAGCAATTGAAAAGTTATATGGTTATTAGATCTATAAGCAATTTTTTCTCGTGTTTTAGATAAGGTAATGTAAGAGCAGTTATTGTATGAGATCTATCAAAAGCTAGATAAAAGGGCACATAATGGGCTGATAAAAATCTCATGAGCTAGTACCCCCTTATCTGTATTTGCTGTATAGTTGACATCAAAATGACGCAGAATATACTTGTTACCGAAGAGTGCATTCAGGATGACTTATTTGCTGGGAATGAAAGATTTTCATAGGAAGAAAAGAGTTTTTGTTCAAAAATGATTTTGCAATGAAATGAAAACCTGCTCTTAATGGTTAAAATTTTACTTTTTCTTCATATTAAAGAAAGTTGTTTATTGAAAGAAGCACTTTTTGCGCTTAAATGGAGAAGCGCTTCTGGCACAAGTAGAACCAAACCGGTTGTCCGGCTCTAAGGCATCTGCAGAAATTCTAACCTCTCTTTGCCTTCGCTGTTGCAAAATACTGATGGCCCAGACCATGATGTAGCATGGCAAAAGAAATCCAACCATCCTTAGCAAGAAAAGCTGCATAAACACAATTGGTGATGTCATGGCTTCAAAAACTCCCTATTAATTGATGCAGTTTGAGTGGAAAGAAACACACTCACAGAGAAAATAGCAGATGGATCATCATCATCACCACCATCACCGTCTGTGACGTTCATAGCATGCCGTAATAGCAGAAGAGCCATCAACTAAAAATAATTTCAGCACTTATGGCATTAATTCATATTTATATGTGTATGTGAAAAAAATATTGAAAATAATTTGTAGGGGCTCACAATTAGGGCAGCAGAGCGGCAGAAAGCAACACCACTTGCATTTGCAGCATTATAATCATCATATTCAGCTTCCAAAATTTGGCGGTCAGCCTCTGCAAGTGCCAAAAGGCGATGGTCATGCAGATCCAAAGGCATACCAGAGATCTGCCACCCTCCACTGATAATCCAAAGGAAAAAAATGAATGTATCATTAAAATTGCATAACTAGACTTTTGATATATTTTATACTCGCAAAGTTCCCAAAGAGAGTAGTGATGCCAATTTAGGGAATCAAATTGATGTATCATAGCAAAAATTGATCTTACCCAATATCAATGATAGTGTCTTCAGGATGAGCTTGAGGTGGGGCGGTATAACCTGACTGGTAGGGCTGCATACTTAGAAAATGTAGAATTAGTAATAAATTATTAATGTGTCGTGGTGGAAAGCGGGGGTTAGGAAGGGGGAAAGAGTTAGAGAAAAGTTGAATCTTAATTGCTACATAATTACAAATACACCAAAGTCCAAAGGAAGACCATATCACACAATAGAGTTTGATAACTTAACTGTTACAAACATAAATAGAAACTCCAATCACCAATAAAATTATTGAGATCCAAAAGGGAATATATACACATTAGTAAGATTATAGTGTACCATAAACCTCCATACAAATATGTACATCAACATTATTGTCAATGTTTTCTTACCGGCATTGTTATACATGAGCTCACAGGTTGTTTTCAAATATTATTCTAAAAAATACATTCTGGAAGTTTAGTGATAGAGAAGCCAATAAACCATTTTCAACCGCTTAAATCTAGAATTAAACTATTATATAAGTTTATCAAATATGAAAAAAGTTATCTCGACCATATAAAACACAATGTCATGCTTAACAATCATTATTTTGGCAAGTACCTGGTGACAAATCTCACAAGTAGTGTCCCCCTTCTCATTGCACCAATGTTGAACACATTTTCTGTGAGCATACTGCAATGGAAAAAATATATCCTTGACACTCCATCCAATCACGAAAATGAACAACGAAATGATGATCATCAAATAAACAAGTGATCAAATACCCAAAACCACCTTGATTTTTCAACAAAACCCTAGTTTACCCTTAAACGTCTCAAGTGACCAGTTTAACCCCAAGACTATGGTAAATTCATTAAACCTTCTCAACTTTAAACAAATCTCAATTAACTTTGGACATGTCATGATTTAGACGTTGATTTGCTATCATGATAAAATAGGTGAAGAAAATACAACTGACAAAACATACAACAAATCTACAAAATTGCCCATATTGTATAAATTGTTAAATTCATAAGCTCTAAATGGTGATTCTCTATTTTATACCCAAGACATAATGATTCAAAGAATTGACAAGCAAAATCACTCACTGTCGTCTTGGAAATTCAACAATAAACCAAAATGATTAGATATAGTAACACAATTTCTCTGATAAAAAGTCAAAAAATAATCGCATTGTTGACCTTGAGACTGCCACTACAAGCACATGGAGTTTCTAAATTCTTGACAGACTCCTCCTCCTGGCAGATGCGGCACTCAGCAATTCCAATTAGAGGTTCCTCCTCACCCACAATCTCCTCAAGCTCTCCCATGTCGCCAACAAGAGCACGAGAAGAGCCCCCCACCATTTCTGACATCTTCTCAATGTGCTTAGCCTCCGAAAGTCGCTGGGTAGACCCTGCTTCATTCGTCTTTTCTAGCCGGTCGACATACACCACCAAATGCTCCCCCATTTTCTTAATATCCAATAAAATAACAACAAAACCTACATACAATGATCAGACACCTTTCCCGACGATAGAATGAAATGGAAGATATCTTCAATTTTCATTAAAATTCGCAGTTTCATAAAAAGGGTCAAATCTCCCCCAATATATTCCAAATATATATATATATATATCTCCCTCTTAAATCAAGACATGCATAAATCTTTCATCCTTCTGGAAAGAAAAAAAGAGGAGAATTACTAGGTATACATTGGGAAATATAAAAAGAAATTAGAATTTCCACCGATCAGGCCGGTGCAGCGTGATCAGGGAAATTTGGAAATTCTAAATTGAAAATCCAACTCAAATTAAACTAGAATTCGTGAAGGGAGCCTGAGAAATGAAAATGTACCTGAAAAGGAGGGAGTTGGAAAGCTTTAATGGAAAGTAATTGCGAGTTTGATGCAAAGCCGATAAATTAGCAATGATAATAATTGACGGCTTCATTTGTTCCTACAATATGTATTTTGCCTTTACTCTTATCCGGCCGTGCTTGAAGGAGTTAAATTTATTCCATATTTTCCCAAAAGTCATAAGACATGTCCACATAAGCCTCAAATATTGAAAGTGTATGGGAGATTAGTCAAAGGCTTCATGAGAAACTGCACTTTTAATTTGAAAAAATCGAATAAGAATCATTTTAAGTTCTAAAATCGAAACATTATTTCCCCCCAAAATAGGAGTAAACTATCGGCATCGTGAAATTATTTTATCATATTTGACATTATTATACATTAATATACCAATATTAATGTCATGTTTGCGGTATTTTCCAAACATTATAGTGATTAACCTTATTTAAGGGGGAAAAAAATAATCCTATTTTGAAATTTTACAACTTTCCGACTCATATTTAGAGTGATTTCAATTTAGTTTTTAGAAAAAAATTAAAATAATACGAAATATATACGTAACATATTTGTGTGACTTTTATAATTCAATCTAACCTTATCTTTTGAATACTAATAGAGTATATGGGCTCAGATCCACGACCCACACACCCTTGGGTATACAACGGCCCAAGCCCATGACATCACTGAAGGGTTCAACAGAAAAGCTTAACCCAGAATGAAGAAACAGAATCCATGTCCGTACGGTCACCTCAGAGGGTGACACCTTGGTGGGTACCACCTCAGAGGCCGACATAACCTCGGTTAACAGAGAATATTCATCCAGAAATGGACGAGGGAATGACACGCGTCAAGCTGTGCAACATCTCATGGCTCTTGCCCATAGAACGTCAAGCTGTGCAACATCTCATGGCTCTTGCCCATAGAATAGTCGACACATATAATGCATTTAATGCACCAACTCATTTATAACTACTATAAATACCCCCTTGGGGGGCAGATGTAAAAGATTCCAACTTCATTTATTACAATATTTATCTCTCTCTAAACTTTAGCGCTCCCTTCTCTCTACAATACCACTAGCGGTTTACTGGGAAGCTGTTATTTGGTGCTCTCGTTAAGAGAAAGAACTATCAAGTTAGTACCTTCGTCGCCACCAGACGCTACAAACACTTCGGAAATGGGAAAGACTAGATAAAAAACCATCTTCACGGCCGAGGCCGTTCAGGATCCTTGCCTCGAGTAGGAGAAATTTGGGGACACCACAACCTCAAAGAATGCCGAGGAGGTCAATTTCCATGAGACGATTGACCCCACGACCGAACTCTGCGGCCAGATCAACGCCCATCAGCCCGACACTCGTATCTTCTTCGATGGCAAGCACAACAGTGTCGAAGCCAATGCCGCTCACCAGATCATCCCAATCATCTCCCAGGTGGACATTCAGGCGACGCTTTCTGTCATCCTCACGAGCCTTGCCCAAAACCCCACGACGCTAATTGCACTGACGCCTAAAACCGGGGAGAACGCAACACCAACATCTCCTCCTCCACCCTCGCAGTCACCCCTCAAATTCCTGTAGCTCAGCAACTATGAGAATGTTGTCGCCCAGGAGACGTCCTCGTCTGAGAATGTCGCCCCCCGTGTTATATCCTATGTAACATTGCAATAGTGTGGTTTTAGTAAGAGACAATGTTTTAAAAGGCGTTAGTTGCTTGTCGGGTGATGACTGGCCCGTCTAGCGCTTAGCCCGCCTAGGCGGGCGCCTATGTGTCAATTAGGGCATCTGGGTATCCCCTTTATTTCTTTGCTTTTATTTTTATTTTCTATGAATTTAAACATTATTTACTAATAATTATATAATATTTGGATAATAGAAATAGCCCATATAATTAAATGTTATGTTTTGCAATAAAATTACGAACAATAAAGTAATCAATAGAAAACTTTAAATACAAGCAGATTTATATTTTTTAGTCTTTAAAAATGTTCATATACATTCTACAAAGTTTATGTACATCTTTAGAAGTTGACCTAGTAGTAGATAATTGTTTTTTTCATGTTGTTATAAATATTTTATTTGCAATTATATTTTGTGAAAAACAGATCAAACTAAAAAAAATTATGATATTTCATATGATGCCAGACCAACACTCCGATGGGTGATGTTTTAGGCCCAATTATTAGGTAGATCCAAGCGCTAAAATTAAAGTCCAATGGTCATAATATTTGTATTTTATTTTTCATTTTTTTGAAGTGGGCATAATAAGTAATAACCACGTGAACTTTAAACTCCAAATTTATTTAATTTTTCATCGAATTGTGTGATTTTTTAAATAATAATATTTCTTTAAATTTAGGAGGCTTCGTCTGGCCATCGTCATTTGGGGCGATTCCCGGTGGAACTTTTAAATTAAATTTTTTGAGCATCTTATTCATTAAGTCTAGTTTATCCATACCAGATTTCAGCTAAAATGCAACCGGGGAGGAAGTCAAATGAATTTCTGAAATATACTGCGCTATTTAACTGCGCAGTTATCTTCAAAAAATCATTTGACTGCCTTCCCGGTTGAATTGTTAGCGGAAATTTGGTATGTGTACACTAGACTTAATAAAGAAGATGCTCAAAAAATTTCACCGGGAACTGCCCCAAATGGCGATGGCCGGACAAAGTCTCCAATATAAGGGGTGATTTGCACTTTTTTTGTAAGTTCAAGGGCTTATTTGATAATTTTCCCTTAAAATTAATAGTAAAAAATTATTTATCAAAATAAAAGACTTGATATATTTCTCATATGCAAAAAAGTAATGCAATGTGAATACACTAATGGTTGGTGGGTTGCATGAAAAAGTAAATTGATAGAGTGAATACACAATTTTCATTTAAACAGAATGAAGATTTAGTTTATCGATGGAGTATGATTGCAAGTAGCCTTAGAATATATTCATTCTGTCCAATATTTCTTTTCATAGAAATAAATACGTAGGTAAAATAGTTTCCCTCTCTTCTCTACAAACTTCAACCAAACAGTTTTTACTTTATTATTCTACGTGCAAGTCAAATCTGAATAAGTCTTGTAGGAGGGAGAGAATATTATTGAGTTTGTGCATCACACATGAGAGTTGCTAGTAAGGCGCAAATGCAAAAAAAAAAAGTACTTCGTCGTGTAGACCCTAGTTACTTAAATGTTGTACATGAATTAAACGAAATTCAATACATGCATCTTTTATTCAGTAACATGACTAAAAAATTGATCAGAATTAATCGTAAAAGGCGTTGACTTTTAAAAAACGTGTAAATACATATATGTGTATAATGCAGTATGTGTTACAAAAATTTAGACTAAAAATGTGGGTCTTATTTTGAACATTTATATATACATCATAGAACAACATCTAGTAAAAAGAAATAAAATTATACACATATTCAAGTAGCAAATCTCATCACTAAATAAAAAAATAATTTGTAATTGTATAAGTTGATGACAAAAATAGAAATAGTAAATAAGTCCAAGACACAATTGTGCAAAATAATATACAAAAAATAACGCATAGTAAATTAATAAGGAAAAATTGAAAATAATAATCTCAACTATTGCCGGTCCGCTGATAATAATCTCAACTATTGATTATTTTTGTATAATCCCAACTATATGGACCGTCCGCCAATAACGGTCCATGACCAGATATTACCTCCAAAAACAAGTGAATTTTAAATAGAAATTGAGCGTAAAAATTAAAAGTTAAGATTATTTATAGGGATTACTGGCTATATCTCTTCTCATTTGCTTTAGAAACTACATAAATTTATTTACATGGACCATTATTGGCGGAAGGTCCCTAAAGTTGGGATTATTCTGAAATAATCGATAGTTGGGATTATTATGAGCGGACCACCAATAGTTGAGATTATTACTATCAATTTTTCCATTTAATAATGATAGAATGAGACTAAATTACATGGCAAATTATACCGTGGGATCGGTACACCGTGAGCACGGTGCACCGATCCCAAAACGGTACCGTTTTCTAGGGGTGAGCAAACGGTACAGGAACTGCGGAACGGGCCGAGTAATACAGGTTCGGGGAGGGTTAGGGTCGGGTCCTAATTTTTGAAAACCCAAACGGTTCGGGGCGAGGCGGGTCCTTAAAAACTTAGAAATCGAACAGGTCTTAAAATTTGAAAAACGGGTACCCGGATCGATCCATTTCAAAATATTGTTTTAATAAATTCTATTATATTTTATATAATGTACTAACAACACATGGAAGCTATTCATGTTCTTGTGTCTAGACAAAGACTTTCAACTAAAGAAATTAATCAGTCTTAAAAAGAATTTCTAAGTCCATCTAAGCTCCTAAATTATTTTCCTCAAATCTCTATTCCAAATGCATCAAACTTTTTTTGAATATTTTTTTGTAAACAAAGTCTCTTATTTAATGAAGTGTGACATATTCATTTTATTATCTCATGTTTACTTATATTTTTATATTTAATAAGCTTAAATTATTTTCATAGACAAATATGTATAGTAACTAGTTTAATTTTTCGTGACATTATGTGCTATCTCTTTTGTTTATCAATAATGATTAAAATTTTAATTTAGGTGGTTGTGTGTTGTTCAATTTATAGATCTGTTGTAACATATTTTGTTCACTAATTTAAAATGTTATTTATTATTTTTATTTGGAATTTTCACTATATTATATTATTATGGTGACATTAACCTTAATTAGTTTGAGAATTTTATAACTTACTAGAAACTTTGCTAGCATAGCCGATTTTTTTTACAAAAAAAACCGAGAACTCGAACCAGCCCGGCCTATTTCAAACGGGACGGATAAGTTCCGGTTCCTATTTTGAGATTTGGTATACTGGGATCGAACTTACCCGTTTAATGGAACCAATGGTTTTTGAAAGAAATCGCAAATCTTGCACAACGCAAATCGCAAATCATCTTGCACAAGGTAAATCGCAGGTCGTCTTGCACCGGAGTATTGCAGCCATGAATAGGTGGCTCCGTCTTCAACCTTGTTGTGTATCTGGAGTTGCTATGACTGTTGCGCTTCTACTATGCATCGAAACAGTAGATTTCCATCATCTCTATATTTGCTCTGCAGCGCCGCGCCGGAGTAGTAGCTAGGGTTTAGTTACTCCGCATCTGGGCTTCATTCCATGCCCTACTTCAAAATCGCTTGTTCAATTTCTCCTCCCAGCTTGTTCTTCTAGCTTCACCCGCCAGAATACTCCCCATCAATTCATCCACGATTGTATTTTTTATACATATACTACGTATAATAGATAGCTTGTATTTTGATTTGGGCTCAAGTTACATGTCTATTAAAGCAATTTACATTTCGATTTAGTTCAAATTACATTTTAATTAACGCAATTTACATTTTTTGAATTTTCTCAAGTTACATTTTATATACCATTAGTTACATTTAAATTTGCTTAAAGACACATTTTATAACACACGGTTTACATATCACATATGAAAAGTGATGGAACTACTGAGAGTAACGTGGTTTACATTCCAGAGAACAAGTTGCATTTGTCGCTAACCGAAGTTACATATGCAAGTATGCAACAACGCGAATTACATTTCATCACAAGGGATTTACATCACGAAAATAATTGAAGAAAAATCAACAATTACTGTTCATATGCGTTTTTTGTTTAATTATTAAGTTAAATGACACCTATGGGAGTATGCTCGTCACCGTGGGCTGCTCCCACAGTATACCAACTGAAATTATATCATCATCTTTATCAAATAACACTCATGTTAAATTCATCATTCTCATCAAGATGACATATGACATTATGACGTAAGCAAAAGTTGTGCATTACTACATTTATTATTGTTTATTTGCAAAACTTTATAGTAGAAAAACGCCAAATTTAGAAAAACCTTAACATTGAAATGTGTCTTAAAAACATTACAAATCAACATACCAATATAGCAAATTGAATGATGGTGATGCGAACACTTGACTCGGAGTCACATGTGGTTCCAAGGTTAAAACTAGGAAAAAGTGTCAAATAGGCCCCCCTATTAATACGAAAAAGTCAATGAAGCCCCCGAACTCAAAAAACACCCAATTAAACCTACGAACTATAAAAGCGAGGCAAAACAGCCCTTTTAGCATGCAATTAACCCGTTCCCGGTTCCATTAGTCAACGTGTGAAGTTTTTGTATGCTAAAATTGGTATATGAAGTACGTTGTTATAACACTATACGGAATAGTACTACTTATATTAGTACTAAAATATAGTTGTTATAGTTCGTTGTTATACCAACATCCCATACGGAATATGAAGTTTTTGTATGCTAAAATTGACATGCCAAACTTCTTATATCAGTGTATCATATAATTTAGTTCGTTCATAAAAAATTATGAGTACATGTCAAAAAATTAGTTTGATCTCGCTATGAAATTTACATATACTAAAATGTCGTTGTAATAATGGTATGGATTTAAATGTTCATATACTACATAATCAAATCTATCACTGACCAATGTCATTTACATTCACAAACAAGAAAATCTACAAATCTCCCTTCTTAACTAAAACCCTGACACAAGATGGGATCTGCATATAATAAATACTACGTATATACTATCTATATATATACCTCCAATTGAGGCATAATTGTAATCAAGTCTGAAGTTCTCCAATCTTCACGATATCAATCAAACTCTGTATTATGATCTGATTTCACTCAAGAAAGAATTTCAGCAAGGACTAAGAGGAAAATAAAAAGACTAAGGGATACATTGCGTTTAACACAGACATTGTCACCTAACAGGTTGGTAAAGCACACCTTTGTCAAGATTTCACCTACCTTCCTTCTCCATGTCACATACACCCCTACATCTGCATTAACAAACACTTCCTTTCCTCAACTCATTGTCAAGAGAATGCAGGAATGTTAAGAGAGTCCGCATTGAAGGAATCAAAAGAGATGTACAAGTTCATAAGTCTAGACTAGACAGGACTTAACAAACCAAACAAGAACATAACAAATCAGACCAGGCCGGACTCAAATAATATCAGACCATATCCAGCCACTTCAAAACATACCAAACTTACATGATAATAACATAAGCATACCACTTCTAACCACTTCTATACATGCCAAACTTACCACTTCTACAAAGATTAGGCTAAAGGAGCAGCTCTGACTACTTGATTGGATTCAATCTTTTATTGTGTTATGCATCCAATTATGAGTTACTATAGTATATATGTTGGAAAATAAACTTGAGTAGTTCAAATTAAGACTTTGGTTAAGCAAAATGTGCAGCCTTATTAGTATCTTCTCTGAAAGCTTCTGACAAAATATTTTTCCAAAATTAGCTTCTTCTCATATCTAAAACTACTCCATTAAATATTACTCCATATGTTCTAAATCAGTGGGGGAGCCACCATATATCAAAGGTGGTCTCCTAAACACTTAAAATTTTGAAAACATGCTAGTACTAGTATATATATGTATAAATTCAGTGTACTTGTTTATTGTTGTTGAAAGATTTGATTGCAGAAACAAATTGAAAACCCAAAGTCAAAATCCTAAATATGCCACTGTTCGAAACATTCATTTTCCAACAATAAACACCTTTGGAAGAGACTTCACCTGTGACTCATGAGCTCGATAGGAGGCAGCAGAGAGTCCCACCAAATATATTCCAGGAAAAACATTCTGCAATGAAATATTATCAGTATTTATATACTGAAATGATGAATAGAGAAAAGTATTCTTCTGATGGAGTGTACATTGAGTAGCTTCTGCACGTTTCTGGGCCGTTTCTTGGGCCGGCGGGCGGGTCTCGACCCGGTCAAGGAATAAACGTCTTCCTCAATCTCCTCCTTCGACAGGGAGATCAATAGCTTCTTATTATCCGCAGAATGATTCCCTTCCTCAACTTCCTGCATTTCACCATTCCTAAACGACGCCGCTGCGCTCGCCTTTCTCGGTCTCAGATTCCACGTCCTCGTCTCTCCTTCATCTGGGATCTCCACTGCGCCGTTTTGTTCTTCCTGCTGGGTTTCTTCTCCGTTCGGGATCCGTGCACGGTGCTTTCCGGCGGAGCAAGGGGGCGATGAGAACAGGGGGTATGATCCGGTCGGAAGGAGCTCGGAGTCGGGACCCCCGTTTTCGGTTGAAGAGCGGTGGTGGTTGACGTTTTCCTTGGGGGGGATCACTCGAGAGTCATCCATTGACCTGGAAGAGTCGCGGCGGCGGAAGCGGTGGTTGGAGGTAGAGTTGTGGCCCCAATTCAACCGGGGCAGATGGAAATTGTGGAGTAGCTGCGGCGGCCTCTGCGGAGTTGTGGCCATTGTAGAGTATATACCCACCTTAAGATCTTATGCTGAAGCTTTTCGAAGGCAGGTTAGGCAAGGAGACGGCTATGTAGACGGCAAAGGAGGTAGGATTAAGGAGGAGGCGCAGTATGGATATATATGCGCACGCCTTCTAAATGAACAGAGAAATACCGGACAAGAGATTAAATTAAACCAAGGAATAAACCAAAGGGGTAATTCCTTTCAAAAAACCAAAGGGGTAATTGAGATTAAAGTATTAAACCAAAGGAGTACGTAATTTGAGTTTCCACCCTGTTTTTTAAAATATTTGTTTTTGCACCATAATCCCGTGTGAAAAGACAAAAATGCCCTCAACCAAGAATATGTTGGAGGCCAACAAAATTGTTAATGAAGGGACCAGAGACATTTTTGTTTTTTCATATGGGGTTAGGGTGTAAAAACAAAGTTTTTTAAAAATGGTGTGCAAAGTACAATTTGCACAATAAAATGGGGTGGAAACTCAAATTACCCCTAAACCAAATCAGATCATACTTTTTTTTATCATCAAATCCAACTCTTATATTAAAACCCTTAGGGAAAGGATCGTTACAACAAACTCAAACACACCAACCCTTACAAAAACAATCCCTAACCAACGATCATAATCAACCCTACGGCTAGACTCTGAGATGATCACCCCTGAAAGAGTAATACAAATCGCTAACAACTAAGCGGGTGTGACACAACAATCACTGGCCATATAGATCCTTCTAATGACATAATATCTAGCAGAGTTGACGATCATTATTGTAGACCTAAAACTAAAGTCCTCAACAAAAAACAAAACGCAGTAAACAAACATAACACAAAAATAAGATCATTAAAAATAGAATAAATGACAATTATTCCTAACTTCTTTTTTATTGTTCTCTTGAAAAATCATCTTCCAAACTGTGACTTCTCATCAATCCAAGGCGGCGGTTTAGAAGGGGGACGAACCGCAGATCTGTATTCTCCCTTGATCAGCCCTTTTGTCGCTCTGTGCACTGCTACGTTTCCTCGGTTCTTCCGTCAAAACACCACTAAACTGCCGGTCCGAACTAGAAACTTCACCTGCCTCCTTTGTCGCCTCTCTTTCCGAAATCTCTATGCTGAAATTAAAAACGGATGGCCAGAAACCAGCCCCGCTCCTCGGTGAAACCTGATAGCGGATGATCCAAACTAGCGGCTTGCCTTGCGGCAACCCTAGAGAGAGAAAACGAACCATTATATCAAACCAAATCATACTTAAACACACTAGATTAGATCAGATTACACTCAGACAATTATAAAATACAGAAATTAGACATTTACCAGACCGGATTTACATAGATCAGGCCAGATTTAAACATATCAGACCAAATCATATCTGATCAAACAGATTAATAAACTACAATTCAAAAGAAAACAACATAAAACCTTTTGATGAGAGAGATTAGAGATATAGACACAAAACAATTAATTACTTGCTTGGTCACGATATTATCTCGATTCTTTTCTTTTTCGTCTGTCCCCCATATAAACCTCTATTTCTCTTTTTGGCAAAAAATGTGTGGTGCAAGACATTTGTCTCCATTTTTCTATCCTCTGTACAACTTTAGATCACATATTTACCACTTTCTTGATTTGTGTGCCAAATCAAAATAGAAGTTATTATTGTTGGGACGGAGGGATTAATAGAAAGTGCTTTGTTTTACGATGCAATAAGTTTTAGTCGCTTTTTTATTTATTTACCATGACTAGTATAATGTCTATATTTGAGGAAAGGGTAAATTGAGCACATCAACTTGTTTGAGGTGGAGTAAAGAGTTGCATTTGGCATTTGCAAGTACATAAACGCGATTGTTTAGTGTTAATTGAGTCCACTTATTAATTAAACACATTAATAAGACTGCGTTGGCTAACAAAGTGCTGAGTAAGAATGGGTAATCGACCAAGGTTATGGCGACGACCTTCAGAAAGTTGACTAAAAGGAAATATCGGCCTACATAGGTCAAACTGCGGTGGGTGTCGCGTTGGCTAGCAGGGGTGCATCGATCAAGGAGAAGTGAACCTATGGGGACTGGAGTCAACCAAGGGGAAGTCGATCAAGGTGCTGGGGGTTGATGTCGACCTTCAGGAAGTCGACATATTAGCATTATAGCATTATGTTAGCCAACTTAGCCGTATTAATGTGTTAATCTAACAAGCGTACTCAAATTAGTCAAATAACACTAAAAACCAAGTTTGTGTACTAAAAAATATCAGATGCAATATAATGTACTTTTCACTCCAACTCATACAAGTTGATGTACTCAATTGACCTTTTCTTCGTGTAGATTTAAACGGTTGCTTGACATTGCTAGCGGCGCCATGAAAAAGAATGTGAAGATTTCCTAATAGTTAATTTTTGAAACTTTATCAATCAAGCGCTTGAAATATAGATAAATTATCAATTCGGTACCTAAAAGATGAAATGTATGAGTTTAATGATCGTAGAGCGAATGACTGAAAACTATCAAACTAGGAGACTAGGACCTAATTTGTCGTGAATTTTACTATTTATTTTTAAAGAAAAACTTAAATTTTATAGACCAAAATCCCATCACAGAGCATCACCACACTAACACAGTCCACCTTATCCTAAACTTTCCTATAACCGAAAAGCCCCCATTATAAGACCTGACATAAAAGAGTCTACGCTGTAAAGAGCAACACCATTTGCCGGACATACGAGAGGTTTGAAGTTGTTGCCAACTTTGTCAGCTAAAATACTCTTACTGCATCCCCAAAACTCACCTCTTTCCTAAAACTCATTCTTAATTAGTCTAAAAAGTAACCAAAGTAAAGAGTACGATATAAGTCATATAACAAAAGAAAAAACAATAGGGAAAAATAAAGATAGAACTAAATAAAATCTGATGTCCTGCCAGACGTCCGTCCTCCTCCCTCTTACCCTGCTTCATACGTACTATCTCCATCTCTTAAAACTTTGTCAAAATTGACCGGCACTGAAAATAATAAAGTAAAAATTATGTAGTTGAGATTTGTGTAGAGGAGAGAGAAATAACAGAAATCACAAAATAATTGATTAAAAAGAAAAGTGATTTTTTTTTGGAACATCCCTAAAAGGAAAGATGGACAAACTTTTAAGGAAAGGAGATACTAATTAATAGTTTTCCTGAAAAGTCACAATTGCTAGGCTCGCCACATCTCCATTTTTTGAAGAGTCATAGTTCACCTCCATGTCACTACTTACTAATCGAGAAGCACTCCATTGCTTCACACCCATAATTACACCCATATTTGAGATTTGTAAATTTGATTAGGAAATCTAGTATAATTACACCCATTACGTACAAATTGCAAAGTATTATTCGCGATTTGGATTTAAGAGTATAATTGAAATCTTCGTAGTTTATGGTTCTGTCAATGAAAGGGATGAACTGAGGCGCCATATATCATCTTTTTTTTTTTTTTTTTTGTTTTATTGGAAATAATTACATGTACTAGGTATATGACTAAAACAAATATTGTTTACAAAAATGTGACTAATGACCAGGGGCGGATCCAGGAATCTTAGATGCCCTGGGCTGAATAGAAATTATACTAGACTTAAATATTAAAGGGGTGGGCTAAATGCGAAAAATAAAAAAAATTACACTAAAAAAATTGAAAAATTTCTAAGTTGCCCTGGGCTTCAGCCTACCATAGCCTGTACATAGATCCTCCCCTGCTAATGACGTACTAGAGTACTAATGAAATCATATTAACTTGTGTTCCATTTTTAAACTTAAGTTATCATGAAATTACATTGTATAAACTATTAGTCATATTTGGGTAAATAAATTTTACTTTAGTACTTTATTTGTCTGATTTTACCAATCTTACTTTCTTTTTTGGGTTGTCCCCAAATAAGTGTCACATTTCTTTTTTTGGGAAAAAATATATGGTCCATAACATTTCACTTTATTATTCTCAAATTTCAACCACAACTTTTACTTTTTCAACCACTTTATTAATAATTATGTCAAAGTTAAATGAGACACAAAATGAGACAAAGGTAGTAATATTTTTTAAAACACTCTTTTTTTATGTCAACCAGGAGGCCGTTTGACAACATTGTTTTTTCGGCTTATCAGCCACATTTTTTTATCAAACCCGTAATTTTTGCTTTCGGGTGCTGAGTTGTGTAATAAGTAGAAAAAGTAAGGTAGAAGTTACTTTCCTAGCTGAAATTACTGTAGATGATCATTTTAGCTATTTTTACATATAACTTTTTCTTTATTTTATTAATAAAATATATTTTAAAAATATTTTTTTCTTCAATCAGCAGAATCAACCAATGCAGCCACTTCAGCCAAAACTTCATAAATTTCAGCAAAATCAGCAAAATCAGCCGATTTTCGTGCTACCAAACGGACTCCAAGAGTGTAGACAGGATTGAAGCTTAGGATGAGCCGGTATTTTAATTTGTCCCAGACTAGACCAGATCAGACCCGACTAGACTAGAACATACCGGACAAAACTTGGGTAGTTATAAAAATACAAATAAATAAGACCAGATCAGACTAGATCAGACTAGACCAGCAAATGAAAGTCCGAGTAAAAACATCAAAAAATTTCAAAGGTATTTTAAATTGGGGAATTCTACGGTGCACTCTATAGGGGGACCAATATATAATATTGTACCACATGGAAAATAATTAAAATATATATGAATTTAATGTCCATGTGGCATTGTTTTATTTGGTTACATAAGAAAATGTATCATAGGGGGACCAATATATAATATTGTACCACATGGAAAATAATTAAAATATATATGAATTTAATGTCCATGTGGCATTGTTTTATTTGGTTACATAAGAAAATGTATATATGAAATTTAGAGGTGCACGGTAGAATTTTCCCCTGCCGGTTGGCCCCTCTATCTCCATCCCTCATGCATGCATGTCAACCCAAATCTATATCTGTATCATACACCTGCGCTTGAAATAATTATCACCAAAGTTAGTTATCACCAAATTCAGTTACGGCAGTCTTTTCGATCTTTCATTTCTTGCAAAAGTCACAACTCACATCTCACTTCCATTTCTTCATTCGTCGTCTCCAGCTTTACTGTGTGCGATCGAGCCGCAACAATG